TGAATTTCCATTAGTGCTTCAGAAAGACAACTGGCAGTACAAAGATACATTGACTAATTGAGAGTTCAACGTTTCTACGGATTTGAAAGCGTCACTTAAAGACAAATTAAGTCAGGTGTGTAGATTCCTGTACTCAGGCATAACCATGGATTCCACAGCCAGAAGCTGTATGTATGGAGCACACACTCCAACAAGCTAATTGCTTTTTTGTGCGGCAAACCACAACAGAAGATCAGCTGCAGAAATCTATCACTTCGTTTAACTTCTCCTCAAGTGCCGCTGACAGGATAACAACTGTCTCAAGTGCTAAACTGCATGAAGCAGATGCTCTACCCACTTTGTGGAAATGGGATTGCAATGTGGATGCTGAGAGACCCAGGGTCTCCTCCCAATCCCGTCCAAGGTTACCTTAAAAGGAAGCGTCTTTTCCAACGGAGAGGGTTTTCCCGCTCTGCGTGTGGGAAAGCTCTCGAAAATAAATCAAGCCAGTGTGATAGTACAGGAGACAGAAGGAGTCAGGAGGCTCCTGATGCGCCTATTCTGCTATGACAAGAAAAATAACCTGACTGCAGCAGACAGCAGAAGCAATCTCTGTCCCTTAGGCCTTGCTGCTAAGCCAACACGCACCCACACTGACCCGTGAAAGCAGAGTCATGTCAGCTTCTCTCCATGGTTACATCTTAGCAGGGAGCAGAATGCAATTCACAGGGCACTTATCCTCCATGCTATAAGGGCTTTCTTGCTGGAGTGTTTAATTCCGTACTATTCCACGTGGCTGGACTGGGGGAGGGTTCATTGTAATTGTACCCGTTGGCAGCTACAGACTGAGAACATACAGTATTGATAGATTATTAGGTTTCTGGCTACTTCTGTCCTAAGTACAGTGGAAAGTTCCGGTCAGCCCATTAGGTAACAGGGCGCCATCTTCTGAGTTGGCACTAACTTAGCCAGCCAATTTCACTTTGTCTCAGACAGGGGGCGCCGGTGGTGAACCTTACATAGGGCACTAGATGGGCTTTGATTAGTACTGGACATGGAGATATACTGGGCGTAAAAAGCCATTTCCTTTATGAGCAGGAAACGATTCCTACCCTATTCTTATTTGGCGGTAAAGAGCTCAGGTTAGACACCAGTGCATGTGTCCAGAAGGTCATGGGTTCAAATCCCAGGGCCAGCAGAGTATATCATTACTCCATTAGGCCCCTGAGCAAGGGCCTTAATCCCAACTGCTCCAGGAAGGCTGGTAAACCCCAAACTGCCCACTCGCACGTCGCTTTGGACGAAAATGTCCGAGAGATGCCAGAATGCGTGACACGCACACGGCACGAGAGGGGTGGGCAACCCGCATGAGAGGCAGAAGTGGGCAGATGCACGGGACTAGAAAATAAATGAAAAAGGGTCGTACGGTGGGAATACTAAATATGGGTTATAATTATCAAATCTGTGGCATGGAAATGGAATGTATCCAGTGGGAGAGGGGGGGAAGGCGGAAAGTTACTCATCGCTCTCCCTCTCTCGCTCTTTACACTCAACGGGAGACTGCTTCTGCACAGCTGGCTGTCTCCGGGAGCCAGAGATTCGGGGCGCCTCATTTGGAAAATGGCAGCCGAAACGCAGGTAGCGGGAGGAGAGGGGGAGAGGCGGCGTAAAGGGAAGGTGACAGAGCAGTCCAGACGAGGATGGATGCTGGGGGAGTCCAGGCACTTTCCAGGAGGATTTTGTTTGTGTTCCCTTTCCACCCCAAAGCCAGAACAGGATGTTGTTGTTCCAGGGGAACGGCGAGTCCACGCCGGACAGCAACAACCCGCCAGACAGTCCACTCTGCTGGCCGTGGCGGGTCCCAGAGTGCCATGGCTGCAGGGGGCACCATCCGTGCAAACAAACAGGGTCTGGTGGGACTGAAGCCACCTGTCACTGCCGACTTCCAGAATGTTCTCTGTGTGTAGAGGTCCCCATGGCTCTCTTTCGGGTCACAGCTAGCCGGCGGTGTGCAGAGTCACATGTCTTTCAGAACACAACCCGTCCTCACATGTCACTACTCTGGGACAGGATAAAGCAGAGGAGGGTGTTGGGTCTAAACCCCAGGAAGAACGATGGGGCTGCACACATGGGCTAAGCATGGAGTAAGGGAAATCCTCACAGCCCATAAATGGAAAGGCACAGCGCTGAATTCTCCCCTACAGCAAAGGGGCTGGCATGCCGGTTAGCAAATCGCCGGGCCTAAATCACAATTACAGCCAATTTCACAATTGGATCCAACTTTGGGCTTCCCCACAAAGGCAAGAATGGCCGTTATCACCCGTCTCACATCTGGTATGACTGATTATTAAGACGTGTCCCGGACAAGACCATACACTCTTCCACTGCAGCGAGGAAATTAGAGAGAAAGCCCTGAAATCGGCGTAATTGAAACAAGCAATGCGTCCGTCATCCGCTGAGCATTTTCAGGGTCCCAGGCACCCGTGCGGGTGACAGCAGATCACCACGGCGATGGCTGCCGGTCGTGGCACCTCTGAAAGAGCCCGTTATTAGCAAGTGGTACATCATAATCAGCCTGCTCACCTGGACTCATTCCCCGCAGGACTGCTGCAAATTAAACCGAACGGCGTCGGCCATGAGCCGGTACAGGAATCATGGCAGCGCACAGAAGCTTAAGAGCCTTGGCACACATGTCAAATATCATTTTTATGCTATTATGAAGCTGGCACCTCACCAGGCAGTGCTCGTACACACTGCTAGCTGGGAAATATAACAAACGTGTTTGACGAACTGTTAATTACGTCCCAGCTTTGTGAATAAGAAACCAACGTGGCTCTCGCTCCACAGGTAGGATCATTTAAATTCTGACATCGCTGCCTTACTGCAGGCACTGATGTGCGAACAGGAGGAATAAACAGCAGAATAGGTGAAAAAGTAAGTGGAGTGAGGGGTCTCTTTCCGGCACTCGCAAGGGAAACCCACAGCTCACCTGCTTCCAACGGACCACACATTTTACATTCGTATTTGTTGAGTAGGACCTTAGTCCGTGGAGCAATTGGGGAATAAGTGCCTTGCTCAAGGGTTGTATGGTGCAATCACTTTGCTGACCCTGGGATTAGAACCAGCGACGTTCAGATGACTGGCACTGAGTCCAAACCTGTAGAGCCACAGACTGCCCCCAAATGAAACAATGTTTCATTTTCCATTTGCACAAGCACAGTTCTTTAGTTTTCACACCCCATCTTTGCTTTTTAACGCTCACACACACGACAGCGATGCTGGTAATTTGGGATGACAATTACATTGCTTGACAATCAGTCACCATACACAATCAGTTATTAACCGCACACATTAATCAGTCTCCTTACAGAATCGATTAGTAACTAGTGACATTAATCAGTCCCCCTATAGGACACGGTTAAGTTTTCTCATATAATTTTCCTTCCTTTACATTTTAAATACTTCTAAATTTATGCAGCTGTTTCATTGACTGACAGCTTGTTTCAGTACTTTGGCTGTACCGTGACCCTCATGGAGAAACAGCCCATAAATTAGCATTATATGTGATAGACCATAAACCAGAAATACTGTCTTCTTGTCCCTACTATGTGACTCTACTTCATATTTAATTGCCCATATCTAATAACTTTGCTTGCCAGCACCGTATCCTTAGTAAACACTGACAATGTTGATCTTTAATCCACTGACACCTTGTACCCCATATGCCGTTTTAGTCATACCTTTAAATTACTCATAACAGCTAATTATAAAATAGCATAATTTCCCCCAAGGGAAATGTTTCTGGGGTCACTGGCTTGCAGCATTGAGCAGAAAGGTGTGACTCATCCTCGTCATGGAGGTTTATTTCTTGGCACGCGTGACTTTGAACGGCCGTCCGTCACAGCGGTCTGTTCCTCTGCATAACCGCTTTCGTCTCCAGCCAGACGCTACCGAGACACTGCATGGTCATTGCTCCAAACGGCCTCTAGAGGGCAATCTACTCAACGTGTCCTTCCAAACAATAACGGAAATAGTTTTAGTTAGTTAAACAGGGGAGTAATGGCAAATTCCAGTTATACCTTTAAGTACCTGTTAATCATACATGCATTTTGCAGTGCTGTACATGACAATACCATTATAAAGAATTTTTAAGCAATCCAGTTACATAATGTTCCATAAAAATATGTAAATTCACTATTAAATGCTTAGTATTACAACATAGCTACTTCTGTAATAAATCTGTCTCAATACAGAAATCATGTAATTGGAAATAAATGATTTGCTAGGTTTTCTAGCATATATAACATTTACAGAATTACTCTCAATTTAATCTTAGGGCAAAGGGGTCTAGTTTGGAGTTAACTGAAGTTTCATTTCAGCTTTCAAGGCTAATATTATGAAAAAAGCACCTCATGGTTAATTGAAATTTGAAATTGGGCAAAATTAAATATTAAATACCACAGACATTCAAAGATAGCTTTGTGCTGAGAATGCAGTTCACAAGGAGACACTGATGTCCCTCTGAGTAGCAGAGGAGGGCAGTCCAGTGCACAGTGAGAGGCGGACGTCCCTCTGAGAAGCAGAGGAGGGCAGTCCAGTGCACCGTGAGAGACGGACGTCCCTCTGAGAAGCAGAGGAGGGCAGTCCAGTGCACCGTGAGAGACGGACGTCCCTCTGAGAAGCAGAGGAGGGCAGTCCAGTGCACCGTGAGAGGCGGACGTCCCTCTGAGAAGCAGAGGAGGGCAGTCCAGTGCACCGTGAGAGACGGACGTCCCTCTGAGAAGCAGAGGAGGGCAGTCCAGCCTGAGCCTCAGATATGGATGGATGTAATATATCACACAGCCATCACTTTCATGAATCTTTATTTAATGTGACAGTGTTCAATATCAATATGACTGGTGATTTCATTTCTATGTCATGTATGGAGATGCTTAGATGGCGTAATAGTTTTCTCTCTCACTCTCACTCTGTTTCTCTCCCTCATCTGGCTGTCATCCCCGCATTGCCCCCACATGGGTAAGAAGTGAGCTCAAACCAGAGCAGCCCAGCCCATGAGTATCCCGACTGCCGGGAGGGTGGCAGTGAGGCCAGCCTGCTGGTGTCCCCGCTGGTGGTGGCGGGCATCGTCATCGGCCTGGTGCTCTTTCTGTCCTGCGTCACCATCATCGTGGGCAGCCTGAGGAAGGATGGACGGCTGCGCAACCCACACCTGCGCGCCAGTTACGGTGAGCTGACCTCAGATGTGCGATCCAACATTAGAAACCCCCACCTCTCTGCCTCTTACACAGCCAGTCCTGTTCATTCAGCTTGGTGATTCTACCCAGAACCCTTTGCTCTTGGAATTTTTTCACCTCCTTTATAAATGCATTTTTCTGGTAATATACAAGTTCAAGGCAATTTGGCCTAAATTCTTCAAGAAAGAAATGGGTTGATAAATATTTCAAAATCAAGCATTCAGGTTTAAAAATGACTTCCCTTTGTAACCCCTGAATTCTCAGATATTATCTTATTAACATTCTGTGTAACTTGATTGTAGTGAGTGTATTGTGTGTAGTGAATCAATGATGTATTTTTCTTAAACCCCCCATATTACATAAAATTAAATTAGTAGATGCTTTTATCCAAAGCGACATACATTCTGAGAATGCAGAGACAGACCCTGGAACAAGTGGTGGTTTGGGGTATTGCTCAAGGGCCCAACAGAGAAAATCTGCCAACGCTGGGATGCGAACCAGCAACCTTCCAATTACAAACACAGCATCTTAAGCTGCTGAGCCACAATCCGGCATCAGACCCCAGCGTGGAATCAGTCAGGAGTCGTGTGCCCTGAGAACTCCAAAGGCAGCAAGGCCATCAAAACAACAAGGGCACCATAACTGGGATAAGATTTTCCCCACAACCTTTTTGCTCAGACAGGCAGTCTTTCTTAAACCGCGGCTCCAATCCTCACCAAAAGGGAATAAACGATGAATGATGCTGTATGAAAATCATATCAAGGCCTCCAGTATCCTTTGTGTGGAAGCCCAAGCTCTCTCCACCACAGGGCAGACTTTGAAGAACAATTTCACAGAGATCAGCAGAAGGCCCAACACGCCTCGGCCGTCACTCGCTCCTGCTCCGTCCCGGTGATTCACGCGATAATCTATGCTGAGTAAACAGACTCAAAGGGCCTCGCGTCAGGCGTAGGAAAAGAGCGTGTGGGATCGCCGGATAATCGGCCTCTTGTGTGCACAGCTCCAGATGGATATTCCTACAGTGGGTCCATCGGTGAGCTGAGGTCCACATGCATCGAGGAGCTCCCCCCGGTGTTCGACTTCGACTCCTACATGGAATCCCTCTCGCAGGTCAACGTGCTGTACCCAGACTCACCGCCCAAGTAAGAGCTCCCCACACGTCTCTGTTTACTCACTGCCGCTAATCTGCTTGTATAATCAGGTGATGTTATCGTAGCATATAAAGTAACCCCTGTTTACGTCTATAAATGAGCATCTCTGGCACATGGAGGCTGCAGATGTCCATTGCGTATCAAGGCTAATCTGCAGGCTGTTCCCATCACAATGCACCAATGCCATATGGAACCCAGAGTGGGAAGTCTGTGTTCCAGTTTCCATGTGCCAGAGAGGGACCTGCAAGAGCACAACGTGATCTAAAGACACAATTGGCCAAAGAAAAACCTGAAACCACTTGTTATGTCTACAAGACAGATGGGAGGTCACCCGCCTACATGTCAGACACTCGCTGCCAAATTAACTTACATGTTGTTTAATTCTATACTAAGCCTGTCGGTGTCAAGAGCTTGTAGGAACAGGAAATCCATGAGCTTATTTCAAACCAGCTAGAGGACATCTGACCTCCAGCACTGAGCCAAGCCTTCGAAAATAAAAAAATTCAGGAAAGCTGTAGCTCATCTTCATCCATCTACCTTCAGAATTACCTCTCGAGGTCACAGACCCATTCTTCAACTGACTTACAGTACAATACACCTTAACGATCACTCCAAATTCCCAAAGGAATAATAAGAGAATTTATCTAATCATCGTAGGTTAAACAAGAGATGAACACCAAACAACAGCCAGATGACCCTCATTTTACAGATATTTTCAGCAAACTAAACTGATTCCAGATATCAGTCTTAAGTACCCATTAGTACCAAAGCAGGTAGCCAGAGATCCAGTTTGTTGGCTGGCCAGCTACAGGCTGCCTCTCCTTTTGTAAATACACTGTATTGCCTGATTGCATTATGAAGGCCACACGAAGTTTGGAGGTTTGCAGCTATTCACTCTGCAGACAGTTGGTGACTTCTGCACACTGTGCACCTCAGCATACGTTGTCCCCGCTCTGTGATTTTACGCGGCCTACCACTTTGTGGCTGAGTTGCTGTCATTCCCAGTTGCTTCCATTTTGTTATAATACCACTAACAGTTGACCGTGGAATATTTAGTAACGAGGAAATTTCACGAATGGACTTATTGCACAGGTAGCATCCTATCACGGTACCACTCTTGAATTCACTGAGCTCCTGAGAGTGACCCATTCTTTTGCAAATGTTTGTAGAAGCAGTCTGCATGCCTAGGTGCTTGATTTTATACACCTGTGGCTATGGAAGTGACTGGAACACTTGAATTCAATGATTTGGAGGGGTGTCCCAATACTTTTGGCAATATAGTGTACATAGAAACAGAAAAACCTTCCGGTTAAATGCCCAATAGCAGAAAGGGCCGAGGTGTGGGAACCAATGGAAACATCACAGCATCCAGCCACGTCTCCTGACTTGTTTCAGTCACACTATCATTTACATTTATATGACAGTTCGATTAGGATGCACAGCCCGGATCCTGCAGGCTTGCAAAAGTGAATTTGAAGGGGGTAAAATTACCTTTCCATCGCAAGCCGGAGATTTCCAAAAGAACAGGCCTTGTCATGTTAAACAGCAAATTATGAAGTATATGGAATATTTCTGTAACATCACAGGCCATTACGTGTTCCTGAATAGCACGTAATTAGGTTTGGGGACAGATCTGTCAGCTCCATTTCCACAGCGATGGCTGTCTCGCTCCTCCCCTTCCAGAGCTCTACAATCGATCCATTGGTTACACATCTAAAGACCCAGGGGCTAATAGAGGAAGATGCAGTTAGAGGGTGTGAAAAACACCTTTTATCCCCATCCCACAAGCTCTCATACAGAGCCATTCATTATTTCTGACAATGAGTATGTTATCAGGAAATTAGAACCATTGCCACTACAATCTGTCATCAAACTATAGCTGTAAAGTCATTATGTTCGGCCATACTGGGGTAAAAAAAGATCAGAGAGACAAATTCTGCTGTTTCAAGTCCCATAGATGAAATAGAGATCAGTGTGTGTGTGTGTGTGTTTGGTTTTTTTGTGGGTTTTGAGGTGTAAGTGGGAAACAGGAATAAAATGGGGATGAGTACGATGCTTCTGGCAGACGGGGGGGAGCAGACGGGGGGGGGAGCAGCAGGAAGTCAGCCGAGGGCATAGGGGGGCTCTCCATCACTGCCCCCGCCATTACAGGCCACCATCCATCTCATCTGTGCTCTGGGGAGAGGGCGAAATTGCTCCTCATATCCGCCAATGCGGGCTTCCGCTCCCATTACAGCATACATTTGTTATTATGGCACGTATTCCCTCCGCCTTGTTACAGAACAGGAACAGAACAGCCTGCCAGAGGGGTTCAGTATATGCTGTCTATGCTGGCCAGGGGTTTTTTACCGGGACACTGTGCTTCTTTCTGGATAGATGTGGTGTAGACCCCCCTTTTCATGGCAGACAATGACCAAGAGGTGGTCAGCAGAGAAAAAGAGAGAGAGAGAGAGAGAGAGAGAGAGGAGCTCAAAACAGCTTCCAGGTAGCTGGTACTAAAACAAGGGATGCACCATGCTCACATGTACGCCTGCTTGTCTTCATGACAATACGCCAATGCCTATAACCCACGTAACACATAATAGTATATCACCGATATCATTATCGAGGGAAAAAAACGCGACACTTCATTGAAGAAGTACTTCAAAGTTAACCACAAAAACCAGGGCATACTGGTGCTCGATTAAACTATCAAGAAGAGGTACGAAAACAGGTTGAGAGAACATTAGCAACCGGATTAAAAACTAGGGCTGTTAAAATTAAATAATTGTTGCGATTCATTTTAAATATCTAACACTTTAAAATCAACTCAATGCAATTAATGACATCACGCAGTGCGTTATGGGGCAACCATATAAACCACAAAAATCATATAAATGATTACAAGAAATTTTTGTACTATTGTCGTTTATGACCTATTACATTGTTATATATACATCCTTCGTGATTATTCTACATTAATTTGGTGATTGTTTAAATAAGCATTATAACGAGCTTTAGTCGTAAGAAGAGAAACAATTTTTTAATTGTGATTAATCACAATTAATTCATTGCAAAATGAGCGACTAATTCGTTTTTCGTTTTAATCAATTGACAGCCCTATTGAAAACCTAAAAACTAAAAATAAGGAGTACGGAGCCACCAGCAGCACTCTGCAATAACCCAACGTGCAGCAAACATTAGGACAAGGAGAGAAAATGTCAAACAATAAGCCTCAGCAAATAAGAATAACAGAACATCTTATCCAGTATATTATTCTTGACAATCAAGCATAATGTTATTATGGTAGTACACGAAGAGCGTAATACTTGAGGGGGTATGCGGTGTAAAAATCTTAATTAAATCCAAACCGCCATCGTTTTCCACAGAGACTAAAAAATGAGAATCAGTACTGCAATTCAGCCCTGCTTGGTGCTGTGTATGTTTGCATGTGTGTGACAGTGATTTCAATATAATTTATCCAGACTGTTTAAATTAAAATATCACAGTGTGTTCTAGACATCACCCAGCCCTAACTGGTGTCGCGATCATGCAGTAAGCACCAGAAAGCCAACATCAGAACTCGTACTCAGTATGAAAAAATTGTGTCATTGCATTCCTGCTAGGGTTGCACAGTAAACTGCGACTGCATGAAAAGTACTAGATTTTTTAAAATAGTACAATACCAGCATTTAGAAAAAAATCTGTAGTTTTACTACATGAATAGCTATCTCCCTCTTTAAGCATGTGATACATGGGTCCATTTCACGATCGCGGATTAATTCCACCCCACTGTGACTCGAACTGCTAATATTAATAAAGCTCCGCTTGCTTTTTTGACTAATATGCTTAAAATTTAACTGACCCCAATATCATTAAACACTTTTTTGTTCGAAATAAATCATGAGATTTGAGAGCGTTTCCCCTTTTTAGAAAACATATTAAAGAATGATCGAAACTTATTACTTATTTTCAATAGGAAGCAAAAGTTTTGGTATCGTGACATCACTTATCCCTACTATGGTTAATGCAGTAGTTTGCCACTAGCTCTGGTCTTCTTGATACCTGCGAAAAACCCCAAAGAGCTCAAACCAAGTCATAAACAGAATTTTTAAAATCCTGCTGGGAACACTGAGGGTGAAAAAGACTCTTAAAATCAGAGCAAATCATATTACCATTGGACGATAAATAGGGAATGTACATTGGCAAGAGGGCAAAGACAAGCAGGAACAGACCCTGTGAGCGATATAAAGGAGTCAGACGAGCTGACCGGCTGCCTGGAGGGAAATGGCCATGCTGTCGCCCACGGGATGATTCTCACAGTGCTGCAAAAATATCCATCAAGGCAAAGTTATTTCAGCAAAATCCGAGAATCCCTCCTGTGCCACAGAAACTGCTTCTGGGCCTGGGAGATACCTGTGTCCTGACTGCCGAGTCCGTACCAGCCTGTCAGAGGCTGAAGAAGGGAGTCAGAGGAATCCAATAATAGGCTTAAGGTTGGTCAAAATATACACCCTCCCTGGTGAAAGGAATGTAGCAACATGCTTCTCAATATCGCCGTTCTGTGTGATACTGTCACTCTACAAGCCTGTACTGGACAAACAGCTGGAATGGAGGGGCGAGGGTGTTTAAGCCTTTCTTACACCAGAAATCCCCAGAGGGCCAGAGCTAGGAGCAAGCTATTACATAAACCATAAGTACTGGATGAGTAAGCCCCCAAATTATGTTTGTGCTGCATAGACCAGATGATTATACCAACACTTCATCATGCTACATTATGGTCCCTGTGGAACTGAGGTTGAAAACCCCAATAACACTGTTTTTCAGCCAGTTCTCAGGGAGCCCCAGACAGTCCACATTTTTGCTCCATCCCAGATGTTCCAGGAGCTAGGAGGGAGATAAACTATCTGGGGGTCACCAAGGACTGGGATGAGAAATACTGCTCTCAAATGTTATGATGTTTTTATTTTTAAACACTGGCAAGGGATAGAAATGTGGAGGTATTATAGGGACAAAACATGGACAAAACAACATTTAACAACGAACAGTGTTAAAAATCTGAATGGAACAAAACTGAAAAACAGCTATTTTATGTCCTGCCCTGGTAGTTATAGGAGAAGGAAAACTCTGAGGCTCAAGGCTAACTGCCTGCCTCACCCACAAGGCAGCCCCCACTAACCTTCTACAATTTCAAAGTAATTGCGTGGATGTTGTTAGACATCGTGTTCAGAGTGGAACCATTATCTCGGAGCAATGCTCACCAGAGAAGGCAGGGACAGGATATGACATGAGAAGATTGGCTCCTCTGTTCGGGATCACTCTCTATGACAACTTCCTGTCCTTCAGTATTACACACTGTAGGTTCCATTTCATGACTAGTATCCCAACAATTTAGCTTTGCTAAAAACTGTAGAAAAACTAAAGAGACGGCGTGCTTCAGGTCTTCTGTGACCCTGTATTGGATTTGCAACGCCGGAAGTGGATAGATCAATGCATGCGTGGAGTCATTTTCACTTTGTTTGCGGGTTCGTATGAAATGGACCAACAATAAAGAAAAGGACAAAGGTCATTTTCAACATCTCTAAATTAGACCAAGGCGATGTCGGCTTATCTGTGTTTTTCACAGAGACCTTTGAGATGACAGCTTCTGTGGCATGTGTCAGACTAAAGGTTAACTCAACTCGAGTTTACTCAGTCTCGACTGTGTTCTCTCAGTATTACACATAAGAACACAACATTAAAACAGATCAAGGTGGAGAAGCTCAGCTAAGCTCAAATCAAACTGCTGGCTAATTGATCTGAGCTGAATACAAATCAACTTCACCTTCCTTTGCTTCAGTGTTAAGGTCAGCTTCACTGCCACTGTGCATGTGCACCATGAAATGAGGGTGTGCAAGTATCACACAGTAATTCTAACAGTCAGCAGAATATAACAAATAACATATAATAATAATACAACAATTACTTTCCTGACTAAGGAGGAATGTTTAATACCAGGAAGTTTGGTAGGGTGCAAAAGTTTGCAGTGTTCATCCGGAAATGGCACATGAGTCATCATGTAGACTTCAGCATACGCACAACTTTGGGGGACAGTGTTTGGATCCATTTCGCTTGTTTCCAGTTTATCTACTGAACAAAAAAAAAAATGCTCGGAAGGCGAGGTCCTCACGCCAACAGGGTGATGTTAGTGAACAAAAACGATAGTGCTGAATATGCACCGGGAAGGGAAAGCAGAGTTACGAAGTGTCACTGGGGACACAAACCATTTGGGGTAAAGAGGCTGACGCCTTGGCCGTATTTAAATTAGCAAAGGCAAACGCGACACAGGGGAGTCGCTGAAAGGTGCAAGAGCTGAAGCAGCAGATTCACTCACAGGCACGTGCGCGACACGGCAGCTATTATTAGAAACACTACAATGACTTTCCAGTGGTCTGTAAATAGCAGCTCAGACATAGCCAGCATGCAGAGGAGGCCCCTCGCAGAACCACAAAATGGGTTCAGCAGCAAGCACCGTACTTTTATAGCTTTAAATGTGTGAAACTGTGCAGTTTATACCCAGAAGGTTGTGGGTTCTGATCCTTGGTGGAGCACTGTTCAAATAAAAGGTAAATGGGGAAAAACAGCACAAATGCAAGGCAATAGTTATCAATGATGGTTATAATAATTATTTATAACAAAAGCAAACATCCCAATGCAGAGTATTTTTGACTTGAAAATATTGTACATATGTACATATTGTATACAGCATCTATATTATTTCAGATTAAGGGTACAAAAGCAGTCACCATGCTGAGTCTTGAACCTAGACACATAACCTTTAATCATCATATCACCTGCTGTCTTGGATGAAATAATCTAGTAATGCTTTTGGATTTTGCACTGTTTTTGTGTAAAGGGAATGAACGATCACTAGGAGAGAGTAGAAAACACGCCAATGAGCTCTTTCTTATGACACGCTGTGACAGTCATCCATGCCTCTCTGCTGTAATTAAGACACGGGGTGTTAAAACTGCGACGCCAAGATGCCAACCGCAGGCGTGTGCCGCCGCACGCCAACATTACACGGGCAGATCTGCTTACTCCTCCTCACAGAGGCTCATCTGTTAGCTCTTAAAGTATCCAGACCCTCTACTGCTCTGCGTATAAGTTAAATCCCACCTACAATAGGCCTGGGCAACTATTGTGCACGGAGGGCCGAATATGAACTTCGCCATTCCGTAATGATTAAGGTGATTTGTCATGAAAACTACAATAACAGACTCATTAGATTTTATTATATATTTATTATTAATTCAAAGAAGGATGTCCAACCCAGAGGAGGCCCTGGGGCAGACCCAGGAGACGCTGTAGAGATGAAATCTCTCGGCTGACCTGGGAACGCCTTGGTATTCTCCAGGTGGAGCCCGAGGAGGTGGCTGGTGAGGGGGAGGTCTGGCCATCCCTGCTTAAGGCTGCTTCATACTTCTCCGCACGCCTACTAGCAGATGTGTCCACTCAAACGTTTATGACAAGTTTGACATCATTGTACGCCTCCGCAGATGAACACCTGCTGCACTCCAAATTTCAGTCCCTGAAGCGGGGTATGCGCAGCTCTGGAAACACTGCGCATAATCGATTCACTAGCGTCCACTTTAAAAACCAACATGTATGCTTTTGACGAGCGTTGGGGTAGTTTGCAAGCCCTACAGACTATTCGATAAAACTGTTACATACATGTAAATGCTTGAGAATCTCACTCCAACCAGCTGACCAAAAACCCTGTGATCTGGCTCTCTGAATTTGTAAAACATAGAGAAAGGGACACAAACCTCACTGCTGTGGTATGTGTGCAGGGAATATCAGAATAATAATTAAAATTATTATCATTAAGAAAAATATAAATACAACACGCATGTGCAAAGTACATGGCTTGTGCGGAGAAGTACGAACGTTTCTGTGTTCGCATACGCAGAGTGGATACGCTTGTGCGGGGAAGTACGAACGTTTCTGTGTACGCATACGCAGAGTGGAAACNGAAGTACGAACGTTTCTGTGTTCGCATACGCAGAGTGGATACGCTTGTGCGGGGAAGTACGAACGTTTCTGTGTACGCATACGCAGAGTGGAAACGCTTGTGCGGGGAAGTACGAACGTTTCTGTGTTCGCATACGCAGAGTGGANACGCTTGTGCGGGGAAGTACGAACGTTTCTGTGTTCGCATACGCAGAGTGGAAACGCTTGTGCGGGGAAGTACGAACGTTTCTGTGTATGAACCAGCCTTTAGTCTGCTGCCCCTGCGACCCGACCCCGGATAGGCAGCGGAAACTGGATGGATGGATGGATCTGAATATAAAGCGTAACTTTTTTTTTTTATGATCAGGTGTACAACTCTCTGGATGGCCACAAGGGGGCATCTTCCTGAAAGTACAGCTAACATTTCCTGTGGGCAGGTCATGTCGAAACAGACCTGGGAAGCAGAGGTTGCACACAGTGCTACAGGAAAGTCAGTCTGCCTCCTGCCCCAAAACGAGATGTCACTCTCTGTAATGCATTTTCCATGCAACGTCATCTGACAATGGCGTATCCTAGATACACAGATGTGTGGCTTTTACAAAGTGCTGAGACCGGAGAACTTTGCTGTAGCGGGGTGGACTTTGTGACGACAGGGAGACCAAATCCCCCAATTAAACCTGAAAAGCAGATGGTGCAAAGACTGACCCTGGAGCGGAGACAGTTGTCTCCGTGGCAGAGGGGCTCGCTGCCGTGGCAACACAACGGAACAGCTCCTTAATCGGCAGCTAAGCACCTCGATACCGAAAGGCTACTGCTCTGAATCCATCCCCCCACCCACAACCTCATACTCTCGGCCAGACAAATTGGCCAAAGCACCCCTCAAAAGTGCACCAGTCATATTTTTGCCACAATGATTTCACTTAAACTATGCAGCAGTCAGTGACATTACCTTGTAATTAAAGTCTGCGTGGGTTGGAGTGACAGATACCCTTCTAGGCTTTTAGAATAAATGACATTAAACAATTTCAGCAGGGCCAAAATATGACAGTTTATGTTATTTATAAGCGACGTGTAATAGTCTACATGGTAAATGACAAGATCATTTTTCAGTGTACAATGAAGTTCGTAGCCCCTCGCTGGGAAGGTTAAAAACGCACATGAAGTGTACAATTAATGGAAATCTAATTATAGCTGACGCACACAAAACTCTTCTCCCCTCATTAAATCTCTCACCATTTGGCCCAGAGGTGACAGGAGCAACAGAGACACCCTGGGATCCTCGTCACCTCAGTCTGACGGGGTCTGACTGTCCCCCAGCTGCTTCTCCTCTGCTCCCAAATTGGAGACCTCTGCACCAGAGACTTTCAGTGATGGCGCACAGGCATTTAAAACTTGGTTAGGCATCTCAAATGTATAGTTCTGCTGCGCATTCTGGCTCCCTGTTCTTCCATAGCAACCACCCAGGGGCGGCTTTGATATTTCTGGGGCCCCCATTCATTTCAGGGCCTCCCAAGTGTTGTTTCAAAAACTAAATATACAGCTAGTGAGACTGAAGACCAGAACTAGCTAGCTGGTTAGCAGAACATGCTGCTTCAACATCTCCTAAATAAGGAACGTGTTTATTTAGTATTTGGTGTAGTGACTGTTTGTGGCCAATAGGGGGCCCCAAACGTCAGAGGCCTCACACAAATGCAAAGTTCCAGTGGTCATAAACATACCACCACTGCAATCACCTGCTCTCAGATTCAGTCTCCCTTAGTCAGGTAGTTTAAAATCTAGATGAGCTGCTCAAGTCCACTGTCGTGCCTACAGGCCACAAAACACCATTATTTCTCAGTACTATGGTCCAGATATTTGGGGATGTGTCCAAAAAGGCTCAGGAAACACCAATAGCTCTGTAGGAGGTGCTGTATAGTGTGTGATTCCAAAGAGTAATACCGTTGAGCGATATTGTTGAGCGATACCGTTGACATGTTCTGTGTTCTCCTCATCTTTCCTCTCATTTCAGCTATGAGGAGTGTGTGGGACCGGGAGCCACACAGATCTACATTCCCACCGACGACCCACCTCCGTACTCTCTCACGGACCCGTGCCGGTGGAGGGAGCAGCAGGAGGTGCACTCCTGCCTGGAGGCGGGAGAGTTCCCAAACGCAGCCTCCTGGGCAATGGGCGGCAGGGCCTTCCCAAGTTCGAGTGGACCCCAGGGGGCAATACAGCAACCGATCGCCTCCGTGGCCCTGGCGGCCCTCCCAGCGGAGGCCGCGCCCCCCTACGAGGCCATCGCAGGCGACGGACATAACCGCCCCATCCCTCTGATCCCCATGGATCTGCCCAAACACACGTCGCCGAACAGCACGGCTCGGCAAGCCATGCCGCACGGAATCCTCTAGGCTGCACTACGATGTGGGCAAGGCAAGCACAATACCTCCTGTGTTTCCAACAGCTAACCCTTAGCTTGTTTTTCCCCACTCGAGTAACCCCAGTCATCCGAAGGAAGCAGACCCAAGAGAACAGCACAAATGTACTAGTCTGAAATGAAGCCTTCACGGAGACTTCCTCTCTTCCACTTCCCCGAAAATACAAACAAATCACACACATACGAACATGTCCTTGGAAGCCTCTGACACCAACTGCCACAGTGGACACTGCCATGACAAACACAGGGCTAACGAGGAACTGAAGCCTTCTAATGTGATCTCCGTATCATTTTATACCGTCTTCTACACTCTGTCTTTGATAAGATACACATGACACAACCCACACACAAACAGATAATTGTAACTGCTTATCCAATTCAGAAGTCTGTTTAGTAGGCTTTATAAACAGTGGTAGTTTGGTGAATTAAAAAGAAAAAAAAAAGTAGGACGTACGAAAACTGAAAACATTGATATCACAGCCCATGAGAATCATAGGAAGTTAGTACAAAATCAGTGGAACTAGCATAAAAATGTCGTTCTGTCTGTTTGTAACTTGCCCAGTGTAAATGTGCGATAGTCAAACAGGAGAATAACTTTTCAGTCATTTCAACATTTTATTTTCTTATTTCTTTCCTAACTGGATGAAGGAACCAGGGATAGTAAGATAGTAAGAGACATTTACCTAAACCTGAAAAGCATTGTGACACCGGAATGGCTCCTAGTTTAGAGAGAGAGCCTTTGAAAAATAAATCAGGACCCAGATTCTCTTCCCTGCTCTTCCTACGGTCATGTTTTCAGGTTCGTGACATGCAAAGATGGAAGTATCTCTCCAGAGAGTTTTAATGGAGGTCATTGCTCTTGCTGTCTAGGAAGCAGACAATTGTGCGAACGGTTTATTGTTCAGGAGACACTATTGATGACTGTGATTAATGTTAGATTCATGTGCTTTGCCGATTGCATTAGCCTGGCTTCTCCAAAGCACGACAGACAACACGCAAGTGAATCGCAAGGCTTTGTCAACGAAGACCACCATTTTACGTGTTACACACACCAAAGTACACAAGGAGGTATAAAATTCTACTGCCCATGAGGAATCAAGACCAAAATCATGAATTTGGTTTGATATGCAAGAGTATTATTATTTGTTTACTCTTTATTTATTATACCGTTTAGCACAGTCCTGATCTTTGCTCTTTCCTAGCATGCTGGATTTCCTGTATGCTTCCTGATGAGTCACTTAACATCCTTCGTATTTCTATAACATGTCCAGGGTTGAATAGCTTTTTTGTATTCAGAGCTAACATGAAATGGAGGCTTCCATTCGCCAATATTAACCTTCTCAGAAAATGATGCCTATAAAATGCAGACTGTTAAAACTTCTGAACAGAGTAGCAGGCTCATACTAATTATACAGTTAGGAGATCTCGCCAACACCCAGGCAGATCTCCATACTGGCCTTCTGGAAAAATGAGTGAAAATGAATCCTAAGAAATGTCACCATTCTCAGTACCTCCCATTTCTCCTAAGCATTCTTTCATTGGACAGTAAGCGGCCAATGACCATGACCAGACTCATTTCATAGACCTTGACATTCAAGAGCATGGTGGCAATGATGCAGTTCTGTAGTGGTATGAGAACCTTTAGACCAAGTAAATAACAGCAGTTGCTCACAATCAGGGCGAAGAATCCTCTCATTCCGAACAAAGAGTTCATGTAACTCACTGTTATTTAGTATATATGCAACATTATTCCCTTTCCCTTCTTAAAATGACCTTGTGATTGTTTTTCATAAAAATAAGTCATAATTATAGCCAGACTTGCAGGTTATTGATTATATTTAAATCGCTACTCAACATTAAATTGAGGCTTTTGGAAATGTTTTTAAAATCTGGGTTTGTAATGTGAAAATATAGTTATAACTGTGTTTACCGTGGTTAATTTATTGTCAGTTTGTCACAAAAAAACCTTTAACAATAACTGTTTCTTGATGACAGTATTGGGTCTTATATTTTACAGGTAGGTTATGAAATAATGCAGACAGTTTGCATAGTCACTCCAAGACGATTGCATTAAGAATCCAAGATACATCCTTTGTTTCGAAAAAGTGACACTATGTATTAACAGAAACACACAACTGTATGTGTTCACTGGAGTTTACATGCAAAAGTGTTCTCAGAAACATAATAAGAGTTCCACCATATTTGATATTATAAGCATCAGGATTTTGAGCCATCTCTGTTATCCGTTACGTCAGTGCAAGTCCCCACTTAGCACCAAAGCAACCAGGAGCAAGACTTATCACATTCTTACAGGAACCCAAGGGAGTGTCTCATACTAAACTGGAAAAAGATGGACCAAAAAGAGAGTCTATGTTAGGCTATAATTTGGATCACACTAGATTTATCTAAAACATCTTGTTAAGACATTGCACAGTGCCGACTTGGGCCAGTGGCACCATGGACACACTTCCTAACTTACAGTGAAGTCAAAGGAATCCCCAACACACCCCAAGAGCGATTCTGCGTCTGTCCTGCATCATGATCTGTGGTAATAACAAGTCATGATATCTTCACTGGTCCTGAATCACATCTATGTTTTATGCTTGAGTCCCTCCATCCTCTCTCATCCTCTGAATAATAAATCACTTGCTTTCTTTTCCAGTTATATCAGGTATATAAATATACCAAAGTTACACTCAGTGGCCACATTATTAAGCACACCAATGTGGTACTGGGTAGGATCCACTTTTGCCTACAAGCCATTTCAAGTTCAACAGACCACTGTTGCAATGAGCTGTTATTTTTGCACCTTTTGGTCTTCCTGTTAGATTTAGCAAATCTGGCCATTCTCCTCTGACCTCTCTCAATAACTCATTAAGTTGTTTTGGCTACAGAATTGATTGGGTGGTTTTGTTTATTACACCATACCGTGTGGAAATCCCAAGAATGTGGCTGATTCTGAGAATCTGAAACCTCCATGTGCAGAAACAGTAACACCACCACATTCAACATTCAGTTAAATTTAGCTTATTAGTCAGTTAACTGATTTACTGTTTGGAGGTGCAGGCTGTTCGCATTAACAAGCAGGTGTACTTAATAAACTGGCCACAGAATGTACCTAGAACATAAACAAAAAAATAATCTTTTTTTTAAGTGAGAAAAAATTTCTTTCTTGTAAATGTATCTTTTAAAAAAAATTAAAAAAAAAAAGGCTTGCATGGATTTTTTTTTTATATATTTATTTTTTTGTCCCTGATCTGCCATATGAACGCGGCCATATTTAATGCGTTTGGTGAAGATGCCAATGCTGGGCCACACCCTCCCAGGTCGCCAGTGCCATGGAATAACACAAATGAGACAGAACAGATGGTCTGTGCTGATGCACCCCCCCCAATTAGCCTCTCTGCCCAGAGTCTGACGTCCATTATTGGAGCTAATTGCATCTAGAGCCAGTGCTTTCGGGAAATTAGGTCTTTAATGATGATTAGAATATGGAGTCCTGTCTACTGCAACCTAAGGTCAATAAATCCAGGAACTGTGTTCCCTTCCAGTCTACCGCTTCAGAACCAACAAATGATTTGGCGGATGGTCCGAGCACGGGGGGATGGGCTTCTTTAGTAGGAGCGAGAGGTCCTCGCTGCCGCAGCCATTGTGTTCAAGGTGTGTGGTAATTTTAGTCTGCAGAAGTACCCATGGTGTTCAGTGAGAGGGGTCATAGTTGTCAACGTGACATTGTGGTCGCATGTCTTTTAGAGAAACCTGTCTCTGTACGCAAGCTAGTACCCAAGAGGTTATGGTGTCAATACTCAGAATACGATAATAAATGTAGCGTAATATGCCTTTAAATTTGAATGTATTATTCTAATTTTCCGTCGGTCTGTTTAACCAGGTGTGATCACATGAGAATTTATCCTCATTCTCTTTTACAGACTGGATGATAAACACACACGTTGTGACCTTTTGCAACTAATAAAGATTAACTACAACAGACCAGGGCACTGTAACTGAATGTTTGTGTTTAACCACACAGTCCAGTACCAGAAACCCAAAAGATCATTTTATCAAAAGCAGTCTTACAGTACACTTTCAGTTATAATCATGTTAAACTGCGTGAAAGGTTCCTGTGCAGGGGTGGATTAAGGCATAGCCCATCCAAGGCTATAACACGGGGCCCCAGCAAACATCAGGACCACAGTGTTGCCAACGGTCACGCTTCTGGCGTGACACTCACTCTTTCAGACTCTCACACTCACGCAAGGAATCCTCAAACGTATATTATTCCATTATAAACCCAAAATTAGCTACATCAAAAGTGTTGGGGTAGTTTGCAAACCCTACAGGCTACTTACAAGGTAACAAAACTGTATATATGTAAATGTGAGGGCATGTGCGTTCAGACTTGTCTCCAATTGATAATCTCACTCCAGTCAGGAGACCAAAACTGGCAGCCCTGGGACCAGGTCCTGGCTCTAGAAGTGGTTTGTTGAATGTCCACATGCTGGTGTCCCTTTACGACAGGGGTGGCCAATCTTATCCACAAAGGCCCAGTGTGTATGCAGGTTTTTAGGTCAGCTGTTCAAACCCAGGTGTGAGAACACTTCAGCCAATCAGGTTTTTAATTAGAAATCTAATTATGGAGTTGCCGCAAAAACCTGCATACACAACGGCCCCTTCGGGATAAAATTGGCCACCCCTGGCCTAGGGTCCCCAGGTAAGCTAACCCGCCCCTGTACTTCAACCTAAAATCCACTGATTGCAAGTCAGGCTTTGTTTTAATCCAATTTTCTTCCCAAACTTAATCTTATACAGTAATTGTGTCAGGGAAAATGGACTGTTAGTAAACACCAATGCCATTCGTCACTGAGGGAGGGGAGCAGAACGACAGGCTATCTAATGGTACAAGACTGAAAAACTATTTGTGGGAGCAAAGTATATGGTTGCTTTGCCAGAGTTGTCCACATTGATATTGTTGAGCAGTACATATTTAAGCAATAAATCCGATGAGTAGGAATGAGGAAAGGGCACTTTCTGGAATGTTACCTGACATGCGGGAAGGACTGACTCAGCTGGTGTGCAAAAGTTAATGATTAGTCTGGTTCAGTGTGAGCATATACAGGAGACTACTGCGCTTATCTTGGTGTCAGCTGACAGAAGCAGTTAATGTGTGTAAAATTCCAGCTAGTTTCCCGTAAAGAACCATTTCTTTGTGCAGTATTAACATTGAATGCAAGTGTTACCTTGAGTGCATTTGGCTTTCGTATGAAAAGGCTTTGAATATGAAATATTTATACCAGTACGGAATATGTACTGTACCAACATTTAAAATCACACGTGACAATGCAGCAAAATAAATAACGATTTTGAAGGTTGGCACCTTGTATCGCAATGCAGTCTTCAATAAGGCCCGCGACTAGGGGTGATGTTAGGACTTGTCCTCTGTTTTGGGATCTAAAAATGCCTGAAATGTCTGGGATATCGCTTTGTTTCATGCTGACATTTGCTTTCTATTATCAGAATACTTTCTGTGTGCGTATTTACGTTGTTTTGACGTCTCTCTTTCAGTCTTGCCCCCTGTGGCATCTTTACTGCAAAGCAAAATATATGGCTACCCTAGGTGATGTTAAAACGAAATCGATACAGGTAAGGAACAGCAGTGTACGTGTTTATCAACTTGGGTTTGAAACAAACACAGCATCCAAGAAAAGCAACAAAACCATTTTCTGTGTTGTGTAAACTGGCATTTTCAGCACAAGAATATGCTTCTGAATTACACGAATCATGGGAACACTTTTCTTACCCTTAGACGGACCATTGTCGTTTTTTAACTTGTATTCCTACATGTGAACATTGATTTAACAATGAAATAAAATGTTACATTTAGTAAATGAAACGACTCAATCAATGATGACCATCAGCTTTACCTTGGGGCTAGATGGGTTTTTCCATCATCGCAGCGCCATCTGCCGGTAAGATGGGAATGGACATTAGACTCCCCCACAGTTCAGTAGGTAAAGTTGTAAGCTGTAATTACACCTGAATGGCACTAGGGGCCAGTAAAGTACCAATACTGTGTCAGGGCATTTAAAAGAAACCCAGATGGCTAGGCTTTGTTTTGGAAGTGTGTACTATCGACCATGTTACATGGTTTAATGACATTATTAAGTAGAATCATTTGTGCAGATTTTTGCCAAAGTATGGTACCGTTACGTGTTCATTAATGCCACGGATTTGCAGTTTTTTACAGTAGCTCTAGGTTGTTTCAGTCGTAACCCGACGACTTCCTCTGTGCGAGGAGGCTCATGCCCTTTCACTTTCCCCTTCTCCGCCACCTGTGCGCTGTCATGCCGTGTCCGTCCGGCGCCTCGGTAGCTTCGTTCGCGTCGAAAGGCCCGTAAAACATAACCGGCAGCGCAGCTCCGAAAAGCACCGGCGGGACTTTTTTTTGGGGGGGGGGGTCCCTGCGGCGGCCGCTTGCGTCGCTTCCGCGTTTCCTGATATCCGTGCGATCGCGTCCCGAAAACCTTCATTCGGCCGGCTGGCGGCGGTGATGATAATGATGATGATGATGACGATGAGGAACGCCGGCGCGGAGATGTCCGAGGAGCGGCGGGACGCGTTCGGCGAATATGTGACATATTACGAGGCCGCCTGGCCGCTCGGCGACGCCAAGCTGTGTGGTGACACGCCGGTGGCGGACAAGGCGCGGCGCCTGTTGTCCGAAAGCGCTGCCGAGAAGCGCTTCACCACCTTCGATTTCTACTCGGTGCTGCGGGAATGTCTGAAGCAGTGCGACCAGGACCCCCGGCGCGCCCTGTGCGGGCTGGCCAAAGCCGCGGAGCTGCTGGAGACCTACTGTGTCAACGCCTTCCTGTTCCCCTGGAAGAAGGAGATCAGGACGCTTAAGGTAGAAGTAAAGCCAAATAATTTCGGACATGTCTTTACGCATGAATAAATACAATTATTACACCTGTCATGCTTTGTATTATATCCCCTATAGCTTATTTGTGATGGCAAATTTATTGGTTATAGTATGTTTTTTTATGTTTAAACTCGGCAGGATATGGCAAGTTCATATAGATGTTACATTTCCTTCCCTTTATATTTTACTGTGTGAGTTGTTATGCTGCCTGAAGGGGGGAAACTGGCTCTTAAGCTATCAGATATCTCAGTGTGCCAGTTATCAATAGCACCAGTTCCTCTGCATAGAGGAGTTAAAACGGCTCTTTCTTTCTAACAGACGTTTACAGGTCCCTTCGTGTACTATGTACAGGCAGTACTGCCAGACCACGTTGCCAATAATATACTTGAAAGTATCGGATATCATCAGGAGAGCGACACAGAATACAGGTTGAGCAAGGACGCCGACCCCGGGAAAGCCATGAGAGTGGGATTTGAAGTGTTCCTGGCCAGACAGGAATGCGAGTATCTCTTAGAGGTCATGGGTCAAAGGTCACAGTCTGAATTTGTTGAAGTCCTTAAGGGGAGATCGTCAGCCCTTCTCAACCAGGGAAATATGGCCACATGTACAGGAGACAGGCCTGGGGGAGTGAATTTGTCACTCGAGGCAGATGTCTCTGACCCGTCTTCAGACCAGGCTAGGTCTCTGGTGGACCCGGGGACCTCTTTGCTTGATGGACGCCCACTCGTACCAGAAAGACCAGGCCCCAACATCGTGGAACCTTCCCCGACAACACATTTCAGCGACGATCAGTCTATCTTGGAGATGCAGGCGAATTACCCCGACCTCACCATACGGCAGCAGCCTATTTTCAGCAAATCTCAGATGCTTCTCGCAGATCAGCACAGACACTTTGCGGAAACGAGGCCACCGGAGGGCGCAGGGCAGGCTTTCCTGGACCCTGACAGCATGAGCGGCCCGCCCTCGATGACCGCAATGGCGGAGCTGCGGCGCCCTGCTGACGGCGCCCCCCAGCCACCGGCAAAGCACGACGAAGCCGCGCCGAAGCCTCCCGCGGACACTGCCGCGAAAGACGCCGACGCCAATGTCTCGGAAATGCAGCCGGCAGCCTTCAGTTTCCAACAGGCGAGGTCGGGCGAGAGACCGCGTGACTGCGAAGACTGTATGATGTCAGACCTGGCTGAGAAGATGGGAAACTTGAAAATGAAAGATCGTTGTGCAGATGAGAACCTTAAGTACCCCATCGAAGAGACATCCCACCCGGAAGAGATGGGTAAAATGCTGCCCCTCGGCTCCGCTATCATCCGAACCCAGGCTATACTGTGCAACCCCTCCCTGCTATCCATCTGCAACATCCCTAACTGTAGCAGCTGCACTAACTCACAAGATAGTATTAAGGAGCCTCCACAGTCATTTTATATTCCACCGAGCTCCAGTCCACTGGGTTCACAGACCCCCACGCTAGACTGCAGGGCAGAGTCCTCGGGAGAACTCAACTCCTGCCCACAGTGTCTCCAGGCCAGTGGGGCCGCCCGCTCACGGTCTGAGGATGAGCTGCTACAAACGTACGTGCTGGTGGAGAACGACAGGAAGGACGACCGGCCGAGCAGTGCCTTCTCAAAGAGCCAAGGGTGACCACCCCCACGTTGGATTTACAATGGGGGGTGGTGAACTGTCCTCGTGAAGCACATAGCCCCTAAATCTCGTTATCACTGTTCAGTTATTGAGGTTACCAGGTGAGGTTCATCGTCCATATGTTTTAGCTGACCAAGTAAGAGGACTTAGCAAAAGCTAATACACACACACTGCAGATCTTAAAAATGGTAATTCAGCAACCTGTTGCTTTAAAAGTGAAGGGGTAATTTTATGTGATTCATCGGGCAATTTATATGTTACCAACATTGTGCCACGGCACTGATTGGTCATGAAATTGAACTAAAAGAGGATGAAGAATTGCCTTGTGTCGGTGACGATGTACAGGAAGAAAGTATGAATTCCCAAATGTCATACATTTTTTTCCCCAGAGAAGGCTTTTATTATTTCTCAGGGGAAGGATTTGTTTTTAATTAAATGTTTATACTGCAGCAGTGTTACTGTGCTATGTACTACACAGTTTAAGTAACCACTACAAGGACAACATCGTTACTGTGAAACTTTGTTTTAAGTCCTATTCCTCAGTGTGCCTATAGCAGCAGAAACAAATTGCCAGTATTACTCTTGGGAGTGGGGCCTGTTCAGCTTTGCTGCTTCAACACTGTGTTTGTGGGCATCCTTCTTCCAAACCCTTCCTTGTGGCTGAAATCTCCTCATTACTTTATTGAGCAGACGCTTTTATCCAATGTGACGTATAGTTGAGAAAGCTGTGCTTGCCAGTCCTTGGACCTATTGGGGGTTAAGGGCCTTGCTCAAGGGCCCAACGGCGACATCACCCTGCCAACCACCAGATTTGAACTGACGACCCAATCACGGGCCCTAACTCGCGGCTGCTAACAGCTCCAATACCGTCACGATTCTCCAAAATCCCATTAATCAGTATTAGTTTAGTATGGGAGCTGCAATCACATATTTCCAGTATTCCCCACCATCTCATCGTATAACATGTCGTAACAGCTGTTAATTACGTCACTACTAATTGAACTTCTAAATTTCAGCAGTTTCTTGAATGAACCCAGTTGGCACAGGGACCCAGTCAGTTCATGAAATTGTAATGTAGACGTTTGACAACATTTCTACAACAAACTGGCTAGCAGAATGAAAAGGGTGAAATGCCCATTTTAGTCCCCTTGGAATATGTTTAAGCTCTAATTTGTACAGTAAATATGGAATGTACACTAATTAGTCAACAGTCTTGTCTAACGGGACCAGTTTCTGAGTAAGCACCAGTGTTAGTGAATTATTGTAAAAACAGGAGGGGAATTAACTGAAGTAATTTTTACAGAATGAGTAAGACTGGTAGAGCAAAAAAAAAAAAAAAAAAAAAAGGATGGACCACCTCTTTGCTTTCAGCAGGAAACGTGTCATGGCATAAGGAAATGCCCTCCGTGGTGAAAGCACACTTACGACAGCATGACTGGGATGCCCAAAAGACAGCAATCGCTAGGATGCCAACAAAAGCGAGCATTCAGTCATAGGGAGGGGCAGGCAGGGGAAACAGGGAGAGACAAAATCTGCAGAGTTTCCCTGTTGACAGTCATTTGCTATCAATTAAAATCTTTTCTCTGTTCTCTTCATACTGATGAAGCATCTTCTGAAGATTGTGATCTGCAGGAATCACCTGGCAAGACACAATGGATGTGCATCAGATCATGTTTTTTTTAACTTTACATTTTATTTAGTGGCTGTTTTTATCCAAAGGGGGACACAAGTCAGAAAGCAGGGTCACCCTAACCCTGGAGCAACTGGAGGTTAAAGGCCTTCAAGGACCCAACAGTGAAGTCACCTGAACCGATGATCTTCCAATCATAGGCACAGCACCCTAAACCCGCTGTGGTTCAACACAGATATTTTGAAAGTAAAGATTAGATAGTTTTACTAGGGTAATCAATGTGGTGAAATTACATGCAGGTTAAAACTCACTAACCACTAATTCAGGGGTCTCCAACTCCAGTCCTGGAGAGCTACTATCCAGTAGGTTTTCTGTCCCGCTTGGCTTCTGATGAGCCACACCTGCTCCTGGTATTTACCTGAGAACAGCTGTGGCTCATCAGAAGCCGGGTAGGATAGAAAACCTACTGGATGGTAGCTCTCCAGGACCGGAGTTGGAGACCCCTGCACTAAATCCATTAATTGAGACAATGGGGAACTGTGACGACTTAGGGATTAATAAGCAAAGGAAATGGCTTAGAAATACAGGATCACTTACAAGAACAGGGGCAGGAACAGGAAACAATGTTTGGTTAATCAACCAGTCTTCATACAATTGATGAATTGCCTCTAAATACTCCTAAAAGTGTGACAAAGGGGGAAAATACAAGAATCACACAGTTATCCTTTTAACACAGACAGAAGAAGTAAATGTTTGTCTCTTACCAAAGGAATCACTTTCTCCTCTTCTCTGCATCTCTGTTTTATCCTTTCTAAACACGTCTGTGGAGAAGTCTGCAGGTAAACTGGGAGAACACAAAATTTACCCTGATTGGTTAAAAATAGGGAGGAGTCTAATGCACTGTGGAATATTTAAATTTGCTGTCTTGCCAGTTAAATTTATGCAGGCGATTCCACACACATTTCATTGAAGGGTGCTGCTTAATTAGAAAGAAGAAATGATTACATAAACCTACTTGACTGCAAAGCAACAATATAAACCTTCAATACATGTATTCTTCAAAGTAATTGGGCACCTTCACATCAAAGTTCCAAAACTGTTTGTCTCAACCAGGAACTTTTTGTAGTTCCTGACCTCTTTCGCGTATCGTGTATCGCACCACATGAACTGCAACCTTTATTCTAAATTAGCGATGAAGCAAGCAGTTTTCAGGCAAAATCTTCACACATAATTTCATGTGAAACTACACTGCCACCCAAAAACAATGGAGGATGAACAAGTAATTTTGTAAATTAGTTATTGGGGGATCGTTTGTGATCAAAAGGGGGGACACAGCCTTTTATTTATATTTTATTTAGACGAGCCGCTGTTTATAATTCATTAATAAATCTGGCCAGATCAACGTTTAATAAAACTGACGTAATGTTATTCGGCTAATAAGCACTGGCAAGTTCCCCACCCAGAACTCGTGATATTAGACAAAATATATCGGCAATTTTGTGATGCATAAATATGGAGACACAAGCAAAAAGGTATTAATTAAATAAATGCGGTACAAAAATAATTCCTACAAAAAATTTAATCTACTCGCCCATTTATTACTTACAAATCAAGGACACCACCATGTTTTTAGCATTGCGTGAAAGACAATGATCACTGCAGTGCTTACCAATAAGATCCACTGGAATGTAGATATTTTTTGTGATCCAGTCAAACCACTCAGTCAGAACAGCAAAGTCCACCTGTGGCATCTTCCCACTGAAACACATACGCAAAACGTTTTCTGCCTACTGAGAAAGGTAACCAAAACCGGTTATTTTCTGGGACATTTTTTTGGGTTGGCTGTGGACATTCATGCCCATTAGTACCCAACGCTAAGGCAGTGGCCAGTAATCATATTCAGCGCAGTACCTTCTGTAGAGATTTTCCACGAAGATGTATTTGGCGCTATAGATGGACCTCTCCATCATTTTCATGGGAGCAGACTAGGGGGGGAAATAAACAGCAGTTTAAAAATGAGGGTGAACGTCATATAAAGATAGAAGACTCTAAATTAGGGAGCACACAGGGTACACACCACAGCAGAAAGGTGTTGCTCCAGCATGGTGAGCTGAACGTAAGTCTGCAAGGTGATGCCCCATCTCATCGGATCTTGGTACATCAAAGCCTGCATGAAGAGCCACACAACACCAATACATCATTTTAAATCATAATCTATCCATCCATTTTCTATACCTGCTCGTCCTATGCAGGGTCTCGGGGGGCCGGAGCCTATTGCGGGAATAACCCAAGATGGGGCACCAAACTATTGCAGGGCACACACACCTTCGCACCTATGGGCAATTTGGTGAGTGCAGCTCACCTCAGCATGCTTTTAGTCTGTGGGAGGAAACCAGAATACACGGAGGAAGCCCCACGACAACACAGGGGGAAACATGCAAACTCCACGCACAGAAATGCGGCACAGACTCGAACCCTGGTCCCAGAGGTGTAAAGCAACAAATGCTAATCACTGCACCACCATGCCACATTGTAAATCACGAAAAGCAAAATAAATACAGGGAGACTTAGATATGCACAGCCTGAAATGGTTGAAATGACAGTATGAATAAATATTGGAGAGGGTTTTCATGCCCGTCAAACAGGATAACATCAAAATCATATGCCAGGTGGATGAGGAAATTCATTCCTGATGCATTCATCATGGACATTACATACCAATGGATTATGTCCTTTTACATTCCTCCATCTAGAAACAGGTTCAGTGTTTACCTGGAAAAAAAAAACCGAAACGACTAAACTCCTAATCAGGGCGTGAAATATACGTACAAAACAACCGTACAAGTATGTTTCATCGGGTTCAGGCTTTTCGCCTCCTTAGATGTTATTTTTTCCCCTCACTAAATTAAAAATTTAACTATTTTAACTGCAGCCTACACACCTCCAGGTTGCTAGTTTTGCTGAAATATTCCAGACACGTCGTCTTCCCGCTGGCAATGTTTCCTTCAATACAAATCTGGAAATAAAACAATGAATCAGTCTGAGAAGTTCCGGTTTTACCTCCAAGTAATATCGTCAGATGCCTTCGCGAGATGAACGCATGCACACCCTTGAAGCACATCGGCCAGCTTGTGCTTTACTCACCACGGTCTTCTTCTCCTCGCCGATCCGCAGCAGTTTCCCTTCAGAGGAAGACATTATAAAATTACCGGCCGACTATAATTGCTGGGCAGTTTGACGTCCAGATACAGGCGTTTAAAATATTATTATTATTGGGTTATTTTACCAATATGGTGTCATCTTTTAAAGCAACGATAAAAGAACGATTGTTTTATTGCTGGGCGCCCTCTTTTTAGCACCAAGACAAAATGAACAGGATGAAGAGTAGCAGCAACAAAAGTCTTAGATTACAAAAAAAAAAAGCTTAGATTACTAGTCAAACGTGCAAAGCATTTTCTTGCGCGGTCCCCAAATAACATACTAATCGTGTAATGCAAAGGCAGCATACTTATGTGTGGCTGCTTCCAAGTGCTATAAAGGCTGCGAAATTTGGTCAGTCCTGCGGCTGATGGGCGGGAAAGGGTCGCACAGAAGCCAAAGACAGAAACCAAAAACATCTCTGTTGACACCGAGCCGGTCTCGATCACACCATTTTACGTTACATGACTCGCCTCGTTTCCGCTCTATCGAAATACTGCTTCCAGGTGAACGCCGCTTCTGGCTTGCGGGCGCCCCCTATTGGTAACAAACAGCTTCTGGTCAGGAGGCGTGTTTTTACTTTCATTTTATCCACTGCACTGTAAACAAATAAAAGTAAAATGAACTACGTTTGCCATTGGTCTGTTTCGGTACTTCGGAGCATTGCACCTTAACGTGTGCCGTCTTGCGTCCTGTGGCCTGTACTACGAAGCGGGGTTACTGGCTTACCGGGTAACTTCTCGGATTTAAGGTACTCTGGGCAAAATGTAAGTGAGCGAATATGAAGTCCATTTAAACTGTGGCAAAGAAAAAGACACACACCCACAAACACAGTATATATATATTATTTATAATCAAAATTAGAGAACAAGAGAGACGTTTTTATCACAGCTTATCCGAATTCAAAGTTATTCGAACACGAATAGATGTATTTTAATCATATTTCATCCGTGAAAGCTATGCCACATCACAAAATAAATACTTTATACAAGAAATTTGAAGAAGGCATGTGATCAAAATTACATTAATGGTTAAAATTATTGGTAATACTTTACTCATAATGCATAAATACCTTCATAATGCTATACAAAGCATCCTTAATACTTATACTGATCACTATGATGCATTATGTATGTATGTATAGTGCATTATAGATGACAGCTTTAAGTAAAGTGCTACGAGAAGTTTTAACAGTTCTCTGATTTTGATCACATGCCTTCTTGCTTTCAGTCCTTGGCACATCAGCGCCCATGGGATATATAACCACTTTCTCGCACTGGTCTGACTTGATTTTGTTCCACTTGTCTTCCAGTTTCTTCCACAATTGGGTAACTGTAGTGGGTTTTTTTGCGATAATCTCATCGCCATTTATCTCCCAGAGATTCTTCATAGGGTCTCGTAATTTTGTGTATTTTGATCCCCACTGTGTGTGAGTACATTATATATATGCAAACAAAGTCACTTCTGAAGAAGACAATGGTGAGTGTTGCAAGGCTGCCGCCCCCCCCCCCGGTCTCTTTTGGACTTGTGTTGCTTCCCACCCCAGGGGGGAACTGTCAACCTGGCTCTGATGGGACTGACCACTGACCATCAGGCTGCCACACCGGATGGTCTCATTTCAATCCCTAGTGAGCCAGAAGAGGCCCACAGGCAGCTTGTAACAGATTCCCTGCCCATAAACCCATCCTGCTCTCATCCTGCTGCTCTGCCCCTATCCCCAGTCACGGGAAGGTTACAGGGAAAGCCAAAAAGTGAGAAACACTGTCTCATGTTAATGTAATTAATCTACATATACATGTTTGGTATCATTTGAATAGTTGTCTCAAAATGGGTCTCAAAACCATGCATTTACTGAATCCGTTTTCCCTATTCTGGGTCACTGGGGGCTGGAGCCTATGGGTGCAAGGCAGGGAACAACCCAGGATGGGGCACCAACCCAGTGCAGAGCACATTCATACACCATTCACTCACACAGGCAATTTGGCAACTCCAATCAGCCTCAGCATGTTTCTGGAATGTGGGAGAAAACTAGAGTACCTGGTGGAAACCTCATGATGACACGGGGAGAACATGCAAACGCCACACACGTGGGACTGTGGCAGACACTCAAACCCTGGTCCCAGAAGTGTGAGGTAACCACTACACCCCCATCCTAAAACCACTGTATCATGATATTATACAGATGAACCTTAACAAATGAAGGAACTCTTGCCTTGCTGAAAGGCTTTGCCACCTTGGTGAACAAAGAAACTTAACGACCTTACTGTTCCAACTGACCATTAGTTTGGGGACTCCACTGTCCAATCACTTATTAAGAAGATCACAAGGATAATCAACACTGCAATAAAACCAATACTTTAAGTAAAACAATAACCACAACAACTTGCCAAAGCTTGGTGTATCACCATTTTCAAAGAGAACCCATTTTTATTTGGTATTTCATGAGCATCCAGAACCCCGCATGGTGCTGTGTGATTAGCATCTATGGAGGTTTAACTGGCTGCCTTACACTGTGTTCTAAATTATGCACCTGCACCCTGTTTGTCCTTCCTATACAGTCAGTACAACTAAGGATTCCTTTTTAATCCTTACCAATTATATTACATTGCGGATGCTATTACAAGCAAAACTACTTATAATGACAATGACTATTTCTATTTTGAAAAGAACACAACATATGTTGTACTAAATTATGTAGAATGAAGTTTTAAAATAACCCGTTGTATTTATTGCAATGACAGATATTTTGTTCAAAAAAATAAACGATTTAGAACAAAAAAAAAACATTTTTACAGATCAAGTTATATATTATTATATGAGCCCTGTTTTGATATAACTTCAAGCACTCTCTCAACCACTGAACTTGTAAAGGCAAGTTCATACTTTACTTATCGGCATGCGCTTTTGGTAGTGTATGCGGCAGCTTGCATACGTACTACATTTGGCAGCGGATGCGTATAGCGGTCGGTGCATGCATACAAAAGATTCCACCCGCCCAGGAGATGACAGATGTATTGCAACAAACACAAATACAATGAAACGGGAAAACCTTGATCAGTTATAAATTTATTAGTTAAACTCAGGCGGTACTAATGTGTGTAATAATATGGCATACCGAGGTATATTGAAATCCTTACGTCAAAATTTAAGTCCACACTGCCATCTACTGGAAATACCGAATCAATGCTCTCGCACATGTGCGGTTGATGTGCGTGGACGCGCACGGTTTCCGGCAGACATGAAGAATCTGGGCTGCGCTCGGAGTGCAGCCGCCCACAGCCAACCCCTGAAGACGAAATTTATGTCGCAAACCCCTTATCAAAAGCGCACGGAACAGTCAGGTATGAATTGACCATAAGCCCGTGTAAAGTTTCTGCGTGTATTTCAATTGAGGATGCCATCCGCCATATATCTACTCACATTCTGGCACCAGGAAATAATGATGGCCACGCCATGACTTTATTCTCCTTTTATGCCCATATAGCAACCAAAGAGTTAAGGGTGTTTTTTTATAGCATGGGATGGTGAGTTGGGTTGCATTAAAATACTTAACATTAACATTTCAGAAGGCGATTCTTCTGTTTGTACCATGGGAGGAAACGGTCAGTTAGGACATTTTGACACGCTGAGGGACCTATAAGGGACCTACCATCTCACTCCCATATTGCAGCCCAACCCACCACTCTGCTTCCTCCTTCTGATGTCAGTCTTGAGATAGGGTGGCCATTTACCAACCCTCCAGAACTCCATCTAACTGAACTATCCAGCATAGTACAGCATTCATTAATGAATAAAAATTAATTAAAATGTTAATTAATTAGTCATCATGGATTTCTGGACCAAAATGCCTATCTGACACAGATACCAGTTATTTAAAAAATATATGAAAATAAACAAACAACTTGCATTGAGAAACTAAGAACTAAATGTTTATTTTACTGAAATCTTACTGATATGTCGCTTGCATGATAATACGGTACTTAAACTGCAATGATCACGCAAACTGGGCCACTGATCTTCCTGTACAGTCCATCGACATGCTGAATCCCTGAGGTGAATCATTCAGTTAAACCCAGTGATTGAGCTGAACTGACCAACCAAGCTGATATTCTGATGTTTGCTTGTAGCCACCTTGCAGTCCCGAGACAAGACCAGGCTGGTTACACGTTGTGTCCGTGTACATCGCTTCATCGGCCAAAAGTAAATCCTGTGCAACATTATAATCTAGACTGAACAAGTAGGAACAAGATAAGTTAATAAGAGTAGGAAGCCTTGAAATACTAAGAACAGTCTAAATTATCTGAATATCATAAGACATTCTAAAGCAATCCTTAAACTAAATATCTTGGAGTGAGACTCAAATAGGTTTTGTCTAACAAGGCAAGTAACTCTCTGTGCAGGTTCAGGAAAACAAATGCATTCAAAACCTTTGACTGTCCAACTGGATTTTGTTGTTTGGCCAGTGGGTGGCTCCTTACAGTATTTAATTCATTTTAAAATATTCAGCAAGATGTTGCAGGTAATCTGGTTTACTTTTTTTCATCTTGACACTGATGTTATAACACTCAGCAGTATACAGACTGTTCAAGTTGTGTAACACTCCTGAATTCATCGCGTTACACTACAGATTTTTTTTACTTCAGAAATTTCCGGTAAAAGGAAATGGTAAGATGAGGAAGTACATGTCTTCATGTTCCTAGGCAAAATTAACATGCTTATTGGCCGTTATGGAAGTCGATACCATGTTTCTTAAAACTCTGAGGGGTAGACTGAAAATTGTAGAGCTGGTAAGACCTTTTGTTGCTAATATTCTTTTTGCCACTGTAGCTGCTCAAGTCATTCTGCTCTGAAAAGACAGCAAATGCAAAACGCTTAACATTTCTAAATTGTATTCAGAAATCTATCACACTGTTAATAAACATTTAACTCTGAGTTTTGCCTAATGTTCTCCAGCTGTGTGCAACATGAGATCTGAATATAAATGTTACCTGAATTCATATTTATATCACAAATTTAATTGATATTTGATTAATATATTGATCTCTGCTACAAACTGAAATAATGGTCAATGAAATACACCTGTGGAGTACAGAACGGAGCATACAGGCCCTCTGTCACAATAAAAAGGATTGTCTTTCACTTTCGTGAATCTTGCTTATTAACAGTTTGCGTGTTCATCGAGGTAAATTTCAAAGTTCAAAAGCTTAAGAGAGCGATGACAGTTGATAGGACAACTTTTTTTGCAACAAAACGGACATTTGTCTAAGAAATTACACATATGCATATTATAGACAGAGTATTATTTGTATGATAGGTGCCATGACATATTAATCTCTACTAACGCAGGGTGATTTATAAAGGTGTCATTTTGGATGCATTGGAGGAGATATTGCATTTTAACGCAGAATCATTACATTATGCATATGGTATATTGTAGATGAGCGGTTAACTACAACTAACATAAAAAACAAAAAAAAAGTTAGACTGTACACCACACAGACGAGCAATGTGTCCCGGTATGAACAGCGA